TATTAAACAATGAACATTGTATATTAATCATAAAGTTTAACAATCATGAGGGTGATAAAAAAAAAGCTAATAATTTCAAGTTTCTTAATTACACACAAGAAAGTATATCTAAATGAATTAAGTAAATCATTAATTCTGGGCCCCAGTCCCAGAAGCTAAATGCCAAAAAAATCACCATCAGCTGTTTTTATTTTTGGGTGGTTTTTCCCATACTAAAAAAACTTGGATTGTCTTTTATTTTTAGGAAATTGTTATCTGTCCAGTGATGTGAGGTGAGGACATTACCATATAGCACCCAATATAAGCTGATTGAATAATTCTAAAATTGGAGTCTTAAGAGGCATGAATAACTGGATAGAACCACTCAATGCCTGGAAAAGTACAATTGCCATATTTTAATGAGCTGAAGTAACTTGCTAAGATTAATTCTAGCAACGAAATACCAAGGTTATAAGCATTCCTTTTGATTTGCTATCAAAACAAAAGGAGGCATGTTATATGAAGAATATCTATGAAGAATGTCTTTTCTAGACTGGAAAACTATAACCTGATCAAATATTAAGTGAGTAAATATATGAGTAGTTCGAGAAATCAGGATTTATAACAAATTTTCTGTGTTGCTTAAAGTAGATATATAGGGGCCTGATAGTGCAAGAGGTTGAAATGCAATGCTATGAAGCTCTCCACAGCAGCTGATACACGGCCAAGGAGCTGACCCAAATACGGCGCAGCAGGCCTCTCCTGTCTTACCCCCTGCTCCCCTCAGCAGTGTATTTCAGTGAACCCTCTGCTTTGCTTCCCACTTTGTCCCCAGTGAATCCTCTCACCCCCTGCACCTCTGACCTGCACCCCAGTTCTTGTATGCATAAATAAATCTTTTTAAAAATACAGTGGAATAGTTGATCAGAATACTACAAGCAAGCTTTGACATGTCTGATGTATCAAAAGTGAATTTTGTTTACCCATTAACATAATTAATAAATAAATAAAATGCTTCAAAAGATTAACTATGACACTATCGAGTGGGGGTAGGATGAAGCAGATATTTTCCTTTGTAATAATTATAGTAAAAGATTCAATATTTCCAACTGCACAGATCCATACCCTGTGATGTATTTATTTTGTTTCAACCAAAATGGTAAAACTTGTATTATTTCAGTCCTGGAACTACCAAAAATGTCTAACTTTTTCTGAGCTCCATATCGGAGGAATTACTTAATATATAGCAAATTAGAAAAGTACCATTCTCCCCAAATCACAGAGGGATTTGATTTCACTGAACAAAGAGCTGCCTACAAGCTTTGTTAATATTAAAGTACTTTAATAATCATTTAAAGTTATTAACTATTTTTTTTAAAGATTTATTTATTTGTGCATACAGAACTGGGGTACAGGCCAGAGGCTCAGAGGCGGTGAGAGGCTTCACCAGAGACAGAGTGGGGAACAGAACAGGCAGATCGAGGAAGTACACTGCTGAGGGGAGCAGCGGGCAGGTCAGGAGAGGTCTGCCACACCATGTGGTCACCTCCAGGGCAGGCGGGAATCGAACTCATGCAGAAGCGGCTTTAGATTCTCAATGCTGTGCTTTAACCCACTGCACCACCAGGGAGGGCCTATTAACTATTTTTTTTTTTTAAAGATTTATTTATTTGTGCATACAGAACTGGGGTACAGGCCAGAGGCTCAGAGGCGGTGAGAGGCTTCACCAGAGACAGAGTGGGGAACAGAACAGGCAGATCGAGGAAGTACACTGCTGAGGGGAGCAGCGGGCAGGTCAGGAGAGGTCTGCCACACCATGTGGTCACCTCCAGGGCAGGCGGGAATCGAACTCATGCGGAAGTGGCTTCAGATTCTCAGTGCTGTGCTTTAACCCGCTGCGCCACCAGGGAGGGCCTAACTATTTTTTAACTGGCAAAAAGTGACTGGAAATATAAAAACAGTTCACAAAATCATTCCGTTTTACTTTTTCAATATAACACATATTAAAAAGTATCTCTAAAAGTTTAGCTAGGTTTTAGCAATGCAAGGTCATGTTTAAAAAAGTATTTAAAGAAGAATAATATATGAATAGATATTAACTGCATATAAAAATTAAGAAAGATTACAAATAAGCACAGAGATTCCACAATACTCTCTTAAGTTGCCTTTTCTTAACTCTAACAAAAATCCTACTTTGCAATTTGTGCAAGCCATTCAGGTTTTCATTAGCTTCCACAATAACAGGCCCAGAATTGTTTGAGTGTGGTTATTGCAAGAATGTATGCTCTTTCCTTTCTATTACAGCTTGAAATTACAAAACAAAGGTACTAGCTCAAAAGCATTCTGAACTAGAAGTAAAGAACAATCTTGACTATAACCCGATATTTGTGATCCTTTAGCCAGTTTCCATGGCTTCATTTTGCTGACTATGTTAGCTAATAGGTTCTAGGACTCAAAGTTTAAAAAAAGAAAAAGTTCAAGATTGAAAATGATGAAAAAATGTCAAATTTTCTCAAATTGTTTGTGTATTCACTTGCTTTCAGAAGAGACACTGATTCTATATGCATTGTCCTATTTGACACTTTGTTCTATTTTGTTTTCAAAAGGAAGAATGAATCTTTAATGACAAAAATCTATGTGAAGCAATCTGAAATTTTATATTTTGCTCAAAGCTATATTAAAATTAGCCCAACAATAATCACTGTCATAAGTTTTGTTATGTTTTTGGCTTGTCAAAAGCCATATTTGAAAATACAGTTAAGTCACTCCCCTACCAAAACTAGAAGTCTGAATATCAAATAAGTAACAAAGATAAATATGTATTGTGTAAGGAGTGTTTTTCAGCTTTGAAAAATTCTTTGAATGGTCTCATCCTGATAAGATAAATACTGACAAGATATGTAATAAAGCAGTAGTTCAGCAGTAGTTCAGAAAAGAACTGTAAATACAGGTTATTGCTTTCTTTTATTTTTTGAAATATAAGTTCTTATTACAAAGAATCTCATCTTTCTAAAGTGAATGAAAGTCTGACACTAAGTTTCACTGTGATCTTTAATCATTTATACTGCTGAGATCAAATGTTGATTAACTTCCATTTAAAAAAATCTAAAGAGTGAGAATTATCCATAATTTTTAAAGAAATTAAAATTCTATTAGAAAACTTACAAAACAATTTTCCTACTTTCTCAAAATTAATAAAATATTTTAAAAGCATGTTCTATAGTTTCCTGAAAAAGACATCAATTTCTTATAGTGAAATTATGACTATAAAATTATATTATCAATAGATACTAATAATATTTTATAATAATACTGTGAACTAATTTGGTTGCTGTTCATCCAAGATACACAGACAAACATCAACAGTCAGTACAAATAACATTAGGCTAAGAAGTGAAATATATTCAATATAAATACAGTAGTGAGTAATACAGTAATAAAAACATTAAAAAGTAACTGATATGAAAATGCCTTAAGAAACTTCTTCATTCTTGATTTACAAGTCAGAGAAACAGAAGGGATTAGATTATTTAACAACTAGAGTTTTTAGAGACCAATCTGAAGAAAAAAATGTAGTAAGTCACAAGCTAAAAATTGTGACTTTAGCAGTAGGAGACACACTGAAAATTCTAATAAGGGCAGAGCAAAGGAACATGTGGATAGTTACTTAATTAAGGATTTCAAATGACTCAAAAGAGATAAGAGAATGAGAAATTATTCCAAGATTTAACAGTAAAGAGTGCCTGTCAAAAATCCAGAGACATTCCAAGTCTTCTCATTTGAACTCTTTATACTGAAATATATAGACTTGAGTATATACTATAGAATCAGAACTAAAAGCCCAAAAGAAAACAAAACACTAACACTGGTTAAAACCTCCTAGTGAAGGTCGCTGGATAAAATATCAAGTTCAGGCACCAACTTGATATTTTAAATGCACTGACTACTACTGAAACACTAAGCATAATTAACAAAATGAAGCAAGGATCTAAGTTAAAATCATTGGTTTTCATCAATGAGGTAGAAGATAAGAGTATGTTACAACTTCACGTGAATGAGTTTTTAAAAATATAGGAAGATATATTATTAACCTCAATGAAAGCAACAATAAAATTCAGACTGTACTGCCCCTACTATGCTGAATCTCAGATGCCGGAAGTTAAAAAATATCCACAGCAACCAAGAGAATCCAGAGTCTATAGTAGGGAAACATAAACAACTCTGGGATCAGTATTCCTCTGGCTTCTGAGACTCTTCTATATTCCTATTCAAAAACAGGAACTATATAAAAACTGAAGACCACTTCTCCTACTCATCTCAAATTGTTGTGAGTTTAATAAACTGTCAAGTATCTAGATGGAATCAGAAAGCAGAATTCCTTTCTAGACCATTGTAATTATGATCTATGTATTATGTTGCCACAAAAGAAAGGGGTATTTCTAAACCGTGTTATAATTATTGAGGAAAAGTTTTCCTTTCTATACTATCCTCTCCTTGAAGACAGTTATTCATTAATCTTTACAGTCCCCTCAGCACTCAGCAGAAATGCAGTAAAAATTTGTTAAAGGACAAACTAATTGTATCAGTCTTTTACCAAGTCAAAAGATTCTTCACATAGCTAGCCCAATCAGCTAGCTCCACAAAGTAAATAAATAGAGACTTCTCCTCATGATACTGTTAGATGGTAAAATACAAAACAGAAAGTGGCTAGTGACAATAAAAATAGCCATATGTGTGCTACCTTGGAAACCATTAAGTTTCCACTAAGTTATGTCAGGCGTATGACAGAAGGAAATAAAATATACGGTTTATTCTGCTTACGTATCACATAAGAAAAGAAATCTGAGAGCACTATCTTGTCAATATTTCCTAAATCCACTTATACAATTGTATGTAACATCCTTGAATAACAAGGATTAGTGCTGTTTATAAGACAGGGGTGCATTTGCAGCATTTTAAATTCCATTTTCAAGGAGGAAAGTATTTACGTATAATCAGACGAGAGTAATAAATACACTGACCTGGATCTGTTGCTGCAGGAGATTAATTTTGTGCTGCTGTTGCAGAAGTTGCTGCTGTTGTCTTGCAATCTATCAGAAATAAAGTTTCATTAAGTTAAATGAAATGCTTACACCTTTGGTGATTATCTCAGGTATCTCTCTTGGTATTACAAGAATACTTTACTGCATGTCTGTGTATGAGTCCCCATAAAATGAGAGAGGCAGAATTGGAGAAAAGGAATGGTTTAAATAGGTGCCAACTCTCCAGTTACCCTAAAAACTTTATCTGAAAGTGAAAGCTTTATCTATTGATGCAACTGTTCATCTATATCTGTACTGGTCATCTTGGGTGAATGGAACTTTTAAAATTAAACCTTGGGGAATAAAAACAGAATAACTGGCTAGCATAATTTTTCAAGAAACTAATCTGGATATAAAAAGTAAAATCTGTAAGCAAAAACAGGAAAGAACTTTCTGTTGCATTTAGTATGGTTGCTCTACTTTGGTGAAACATTTTTTGATGTAAATATCTTCAGAACTGACAACACAAATATTGTCAAAGAAATGCCAAAAAAAAAAAAAAAAAACCCACACAGCAAAATGTAAAATATCTAACTTTTTTCATTGTTGTCATATATCATGTACAAAGCATTTTTTAAACAAAATTTAATAGTTATTCATTTATCCTTTGGGGAACATATTGATTTACAGGATCTACATCCAAGTTTTATATTTCTTTGCTTCATTTAGCAATCAAATTTGACATCTTCACATACCATCTAGTCTACAATAAGGAATATGAACCACTTCATGCAAGGACTACTGGGGATTGAATCTGCCCCTCAGGAGAGCAAACACCTTCTTTAGAATAGTGTTTACTACAAAGCAAGAGTTAAGCTTTGGGCTACTTACTTATTGCCTGGAAAAATGAACTGTTAAAGCTTGAAGCCCAGGAGAAGAACACATTTTCTAGAAACTTAGGAAGCCAGAGAGAAAAGTGTTCAGTGGGAAGGAGTTAGTTTAATGGAACCCTGTGGTCAAGAGTTATGGGTTTTTCTCCCTATTTCCTCTATTTTTCAAAAGCCAGTACTTCAGAATAGGCAATGGAAGTGGAAATGAGTATGCATCTGACTCCAGATGTATAATTCCAGAATCTTTGTGATGCCTATGCTTGGAGTAGAGGGGAGCACTCACATCACATTTCATTCAGCAGAAGATGACAAAATAGCAGTGTGTTCCCAAATATTACTTTATGGCTTCTGGTGATGACTAGCTCCTACCGGAAGTCATGACAAAGCTGCCCCAAACATAGGCTACTGCTTGAGAAATGAGATCACCCCTGCCCAATGCTTTATAAGCAAAATGGAAGGAGTATTTAATCAGGTTGGAAAGACCCACTCTGCTTGTCACCATTCAAATCAGAAATGGACAGCTCACTCTGCAGCTCTAGGTATAGATGCTGGGTCCTCTGAATATTTATTTCCTCCTAGCAAACCAGTGAAATACCACTAGGCAGCTAATATTGATGGTCCCCCAAATGATAAAGTGCCACATAGAAATGCCTCCAAAACACCACAGTGCAATTACTATCATCCACTCTAGACGCATGGGTTTGACACTGTGAAGTATGGTACATAAGCACCATGTGGCTCAAATTCTGAATTTTATTTGCCAATCGGTTGAGCTACATGCTCGCTTCATTGAGCATGACAACCTAGTTTTAAGTGTCATTTAATTTTCATTTTGAAATATAATTACAAAGTGTTCACTGTAAGATATCACTCGTCTGCAAATGTGTCAAGATTAATTTGTGCTAGCTTATTCACAAGTGTCAATAGTTAATTACTGTGTCATCTCTGGATGGCTAAATGACATTCTAACTTCTGATTTTTTACAGTGTTCCTTTATGTTATTTTCCATTAGGGGCTGAGTCCATATTCCTACATGTGGGCAAATATTCAAGCATATAAAATACCAGACGTCACAACTCATTAAAATCAACAGAGCATATATTGCTCTATATACCCCTATAAAATACATTTAACTGAAAAGATAATTCCAGTAATAATGTCAGATTCCTAAAAACTGCACATTAATTTGGCTCTGTCTGATCTAAAGCATCAGGGACGACTCTATAGGAACATTGTTGCTAGATTAATGTGCTCTTATGAGACAGGAAAAACATTTGGGAAAGTGATTAATCTTTTCAAAGTTATATATTTAAACTTTCCTGTTTTTTTTTCTTTCTTGTCACTTCTAAATCAGTGAAGTAAAATTCTTATAGGCATCCTGTGCTCATTTGTTTTCAATAATTATCCTAAGCTATTAATTAATCTATAATTTCTCACTCAAACTAGCACAACTCTTACAAGTCGAAGGCGGGTTGTTCTTAATAATTTCCCTAAAAAACAGATATTACCTGGGGCAATTCTGGGGAAATTGATATATACAATTACCCTAGTTTTAAAGTGAAGGTTAGGTCAGTATGTTGAAAGGTCTTCAAAGTTTTCTAGACCAAGACCTCTTCTTCTGGACGAGAAGCAGGAGGCTCAGAGAAAAAAGACTTACTCATGGTTAAGGTATGTTGGAAATACATGTGATGTCTATGTGAATAAGAATCCCTGAGTGACTAATCAAATCCAAATGTCCTGAAACAATGTAATCACTTCAGTTATGCTCAGCTGCTATGATGCCTTTCTCTGTCTTCCACATAAGCCCTCGGCATTCTTGAAGACCCTGGATTTTCAGAAGGCTTCCTCCTTCTTTTCTTCTTCTTCTTTGATTTTTAGGAGTGCTTATGACAAATAAACCAATCAGTGTGATTACTCTCTGAGCTTGGCACATTCCACATTTCCAGTTAGTCAGCTCCTTTTGCAGAGCTCACCTGTTCTTGCTGTTGGCGAGCAAGGTCCATTTGCTGCCGTTGTTTCTCAATTTGTGAGGCTGCCAGTTTTTTCTGTTCATCGTGCGCTGCCAAAAGCTGCTCCCGTAAACTGATCAGCTGGGTAATCATGGTGGAGAGCTGTCGTTCTTTTTCTGCCAGACTCTCAGGTGTACCTAAAATGAAAGCAAGAAGATATCTCACAAGTTTGTGAAAAGTCTAAATGAATTGGGGAAAGGTTGGGGTGGGTGAAGATTTAGAAAGTGACCACCCTAAGATACTTAAAGATGTAGGATAATAATTGAAGGTCATTGTGAGTCTGGGAACACCACAGTAATTATAGCAGTGGGATACATGTTAGGCTTAGTCATTGCCCCTGCCAAGAAAAAAATATTGTTATCAATGAAATTCTCACTCACTCTTTCCTTTTACTCTTTGAAAAATCAACAATAAAAACCAGAGCAACCTATTTCATTCTGTCTTTCACCACATTCCTTTTCTGCCCCAAGCCACATCTACCTGGTCAAGCTAGGAAATATTTAATAGCAAAGATTAGAACCTGTGTACTGTGTTAATATTCTATAGCCATTTCTACACTTAGTGACTAACACAGAATATAAGAGTAGGTGCTTAATAAATGTTATTTAAGGAATTTTCTGATCACTGCCCTAATACAATTTTTCTTGTTCAAAAATCTGTGTCTAAAGTTCAGAAGTGAGGGGTCACTCTCTTGGCCATGGAACAAATTCTAAAATGAAAATAAAGCTGTGTTGCCTCAGGTAAGAAAGGATTGAAGCTGTTATTTTTCCTATGAGGGGATCAAGCTAAAGTTCCAAGTTCATCCTTAAAGGCAACCATGTTGCTTAGAGGACTCCCTCACCCCTTTGTCATTTGTCATTCTTCAAAGGGAAAAAACACATTTGAGGTTGAAAAGGTTATGCATAAGGATGTGGTGTTTAATGAATATGATGTTGCTGAACACTTACGGTATGCACTAATGGTACTGAACAGTCTTTTTATGGGTAAATTGCACAGCTCTCATAAGTAAAGGGTACAGAATCCTTTTGTGAATCTAAATTAGAGCATTTTACTGCAGCATAAGATAAGAGTTTCAACCCACTGTATCTGAACTACACAGGTTTCATTATGAAGAAATGATCTATGATTTGAAAGCTTTTCAGAAAGATGCCACCAGCTGTCAAAGGGGACGAAGATTGCCAATTTTTGTGCATGTGGAAGAGGAGGCTCAAATCTCCTAATGAACCCCCACCCTCCCACCTACCATCACCACTCCTACTAAGAATGTGCTAGGGACAACCTGAAAAACTAAAACATTTAAATTAAGAGTAGCCCTACTTTCTGCATGGCCCATGGAAAAGAGAACCATCAGAGATTATGTCTAGCACTTTCTAGTATGTGATTCCCATCAGGAAAAACTACTATCAGCAGAAAAGCTAGCACTCTAGGAATTCTCAATGTCAAATCAAGTTCTAAATGAATAAACTAGCAGTACCTCTATGCCCCTTAAAATTTCAGTAAGCTAAAAGATAACCTAAAATCAAAAATAAAAGAAAAGAAATTAGTGAGGTATTAGCAAATGCATGCCATTGATGAGAACACTGTACTGTATAAAGGAAACTGTCTGACCACTGGAATCAATTATTTTCTTAACAATTTATTTTTAATTTCAGTAATGGTATTTTCATTTTGGTAAAAAAAGAACTTCTCGAGCTAATATATTAAAATATGAAAGTAGGTTTCCAGAGTATATCATAAAATCTCTTCAAAATCATGACAAGCTCAATATGTATGTAATAATGCACATATATGAGAACAAAACAAGAACTACGCAATTTATCTGCTCATCTTATGCATTGTTAAAGGTAGATAGGTGGAAGTTTAATCAAGTTTGGGAGGTCAAGTTTAGGGTACCTCCTCAAAGGCCTGTAGAGGGGAGGAGTAGGAGTATTTCAGTGTTTTCCAAAAGATATAAGAAGGTACTAAAACTTAAGCAAGGAAATTAATGGAAGCAAAATATCAGTGGAGGTCAGAGGCAGAAAAAAGTCATATTTAGTTCTTTCCAGATGCACAAACCATGCTTAGTGAACTTCATATTTATTCTAAGAATATTTCAAAATCACTAAAGTATTTTCATCAACTGATGCTGTTATCATTCTGGCTGCAACAACAGAAAATAGTTTGAATATTATAAGAATAAATAAAGAGAATGTGTGCACCTTTAGCTACATGTATTTTGTACAATTTTCTTGTTATACCTATCTATATATGGATATAATGTAAGTTAATAAAAAGTTTATTGGATACTAGGAAAGTTACTACGGTATCATTATGCTTCTATAAAAAAGAAAAATAATCAAGAAATTTTGGGTTAAGAATCATACAAGAATTGGTTCTAAAATTTAGATTTACTAAGTAAAGACTGGAAAATATTCTCTTCTCTCAGGTTAAACAATGTCTTTCAGCTATCTTCAATATGTAAAACCTTTAAATAGGTAAGAGAGAAGCTGAGGATACAAATGTCTCCTTAGCCTCTTCTGTTCAAAATGAAGCCAAGAAGTCTACAAATACATTTGTGGCTCCAACGCTAATAGATATGGGTAAGTATATCTGAATTACAGAATGCCATTTAACTGAATCTTTTTTAAAAATCAGCATGACATTCAATTTGTTTAATTGTAAAATATAATTGACATTTAAGTAAGTATTTCACTGGACTAAAGAATAAAACAAGTCAGAGCCGAGTATTTTTAAACTGAGGATATAGACACTCATAAGAAGGCCGTTTCTGTATTTTCCTTAAATTCGAAGAGCACATATATATTTTGAGTAGACATATATGGGGAAAACAAATGTGGCTGGAATGAAGTATAATAGTATAGCAAATCTAAAGTTCCCTTAATGGGAAATTTATATGCTATATATTTACATACAAATATAAATAATTTATATGCATGTTTATATGCATGTGTGCGTATATTATATGTATATACATATGAGTTAATGTATATACATGTAAATGTACATACATATAAATATACATGCACATATATATAATTTCTATTGAAACCTTGAGAAATTAGTGTCCTGAATAGAAAACTACACATATATAATATATACACCTATTTTCTATTAGTAATATGGCATTAGTCTTGGAGGTCAAATTAAGGAGAGTTCAATTAACTTAGAACATACAATAGTTTATGGGTTTTTTAAAGATTTATTTATTTATGCACAAAATAGCTGGGGTGTAGTCCAGCAGTGCAAGGGGTGAGAGGATTCACCATAGACAAGTGGACAGAAGAACAGGCAGACAGACTGAGATACACTGCTGAGGGGAGCAGAGGGTGAAACAAGAGAAGTCTGCTGCTCTATGTTCACCTCCCTGGCTGGGGATCCAACTCCCCTGCAGTGGCTGGCGAAAGCTTCATAGTGCTGAGAAGCTCCAGTTTATGTTTTTGAAATGTTTAGTTTGTATATGGGGGTGGGCATGGGGTGGTGTATTTGCTCATGCATAATGTTGTTTAAACCCAGATATTTAAAACTGATGGTGCTGGGTTCTTCTGTTATAATTAACAGCAAATGTTTATGATGATCTAAAAGAAACAACAACAACAACAACAACACCAGGTCTGAATCATACTGACCAAACAACGTCTGAACACGAGTTATTTCATCTCCAATAATACGAGTTTAATTGAACAGGAACTGTTGTACTGGCAAAGGAACTACAACTGCCAGAGTTGTTGAAAATTTATGGGACATAGTGGGGCAGCCTAAATACCGTCAGGCTATGTTAAAGAAGGCAAAATACCATACAATTTGCCCTTTTGAGGTTATTTAACTCCGTATAGAAAATTCTGTCTTAAGTTATGTTTTGAGAATTGATCAAATCAAGTTGGAGAAAAAGTAGATCAGATCCTGAGGAGCTGTCCAGGCCAGCAGAGGTCATCAGTAGCTGCCAAACAAATATCCTCGGTTTCACATTCTTCAGGCTATCTCTAAGTGATTCTCTAAAATGATTCTCTTGCCAGAAAATAGTTTCTCCCACACAGAAACAGAGGTAGTTTCACAAACCACAAAAAAAGGAACCAGCAAAAACAGCTTCTGTACATGGCTTCTCTACATCAATGTGTCTGTTTTTATCGCATATCATACACAGTGTGCATCTAACACCTTCCACTGTAAACTCTATTCTCCAACTCCAAACAGCAGTTTTTTGTTTTTTTTTTTTTTTTCATGGGGTCGTCTTTATCCCCAAACCACATCTGTCTTGAGTTTCTCTCAGATTAGTCAGGTGGATCAGTGCTCCCCAGGGCCTGCTCCAGCTGAAGTATTTTAATTTGACTAAACACCTGATTTATTTTATCTCTCCGATGAGAAAGGCAGTTTGTCTTAATAGAGCCTGTCAGCCCACAGCCCCATTCACAGCAATTTACAGGCAGCCAGGGACGCTGGAAGAGAAGAGTGCCGTGATTCTGTATTTTATCCTCCTCCAGAAAGCACCTAAAAGCAGCTATTCACTGCTACTGCATGTGGCATTTTAGAACTGAATTAGCTTTTTATTCAAGTAACTACACTTGTTGTGAATAGCTTATCTGTAAAATTGCTACATTCACTACTGATTTTATTAACCTTTGGCTCTATCACAAAATGGTCTTCAGTTAGGAAAGACCTTTAAAATTGACACATTTTTTTCTTAGGGGCCTTTATTCCAGTGACTTCAGATTTACTGAGTTTGATCCATTGAATTCTTTACCAGTTGTACTTAAAATTTTGAGTCTCAATAGGAAGTCAATAGTGCGTAAATAAGGAAACACTTTTCAAAATGTAAATACAGCAAGCAATTTCCCTCATCAAAAGTTTTCAAATACCATCTTTCACTATAGCAGTTTCAGAATCAGCCCTCTTAGCCTCTTTTGGCCATAATCTGAAAAACTTAAAAACAATTAACAAAAATAGACTATTTTTTAAACTTTATAATCTATAACTATCTGTCCCTAGGCCCAAAGCCAACAGAGAAAATTTAAATTTGAGGCATTTGGGTAAAATCCAGTATTAGAAGTCTTTTCTTAATATAAATGAAAAATAAATACAAGCAAGTTTAAGAGTCATTTAAAAGTCTTTTTTTACATGAGCTCATAAAAGTGACACCACA